ACTTTGGATATAGTTACTTATTCTGGGTTTAACATGTTACGGAAATGATTTAAATTCATAAAAGGTCTTACGGTTGTGTAAATGAAAATGTGACTTTAAAAATTAAACAAGCAAACCAAAACTAATTTTTTTCTTTTTAATATATCATGCATAAATTCCTCAGTAAAAAAATGTAGACATTTAGTAACATTTTTCATTTACTATCAAATACAGGGATATTGCCGTGAGAGGCGTTCGGCAACAAATAAAGATTTACATTGTATTGCAAATTGTGTGATTGGTAAAGCACGACACGCATATCCATCTCGCGAACATGGTGTCATCACTGATTTTCATTAATACAATCATATAATGTTCTTCGCTATTTTGCCTCTTACGCCCGATTGAATGTTTCAGCAGATAATCGAGACTCATTATTCTCTGGAGTTGACGGGTTGAGTTTTGAAAAAAGATGTTTCCTTGGACAATTTAAGTCAAACAGTTTGCAAAAAAAAAACACGGCGGACTGTCCATTCGTGATATTTGTTAAATTTTGGAACAATTGTCTTAAACAGTTTATTAATTCACGTGATTCTATTGCTCCGTATAACCGTAAATACAGCATAGACCCTGGACATCTCATTAGTGATGGTAACGTTATGATTCACTCATTCCTTCCTTGGGTGAATTAAACATACAAAAAGTCCCTTCTAAGCTTATCCTATCCACAAGTTCACATGGCAAACACACCGTTATCTTAAAATGATACACGCTGGGGCTGTATATAAGAATTGACGGTCACTTTGTGTGTGTTTATTGGATCATGAACCTACACAGAGCAAGGGCCTGACTGTATTCACCTCGAAGGATAAAGGTTCAGATCTATACACAATAAAAAAAATAAATTGTATTTAGTTCGTGTGACTTTGTTTACGCTGACAGCCAATACAACGACCAGCAGTATCGCGGAATAAAATAGTTCCTAAAACAAGGTGATGAGAGAGTATGTATTCTCAACTTGTTCTACAGGAACATATGCTGTAGTTTGTTTACAACAATAATAATAATATCATCATTGGATGAGAAAGGTCTGCTAAGAACTACCTCAGTAAGTCAGTACCAATGACAGCTCGTCGTAATACATGTACATAAAAAAACAAGACGTCAAAATGGCGATAAACTTTACGGGAGTGATCTCCCAAGCTGAACCTGTGGTGGTTTCATGTGGATGAATCAACGTGCAGATCATTGAAAGATGTGATTATGAAGATGTGTCAAACAGATACTAAGGGAAGTTTATAGATGACTGTAGGCAGTCACTGTCCATACACGGATCGAGTCGATACTACGATAGTTCGTTTTAGTCACAATGATGGATCGTAGCGAGGATATTGGTGAACGATCAATCCTTCTGACGTTTCTCGATGTATGCTTAAACGCGGAGTTCAATATTAAAGGGTCTAAATGATCGGAAACAACGCTTTTGTATGCATTCGTGCCAGGGAATTCCCAGGGGTTCCCCAGGAATGTGTACCTAGTCCTCCGTCTGATTTTACATCATTCTATAATTCGGTCTCGTGAAAAACGCAAGAACGTCAAATTGTGTCGTTCATACACTTATTGGGGCGGTGGGTTAGCCTAGTGGATAACGCGTTCGCTCGTCACTCTGAAGACCCGGGTTCGATTCCCCGCAGGGGTACAATGTGTGAAGCCTATTTCTTGTGTCCTCCGCCGTGCTTTTGCTTGGATAGTGCTAAAAGCGGTGTAAAACAATGGTCACTCACTCATACTCTTATGAACGTCAAGTTCCCGGTCATGTGACCGACCTTACGCCAATAAGAAAAGCAGTATATCGTGTTACTTCAGATTGAAAAATTGCTAACGCATTTCCTGTTGAGTTGTGTAAAGAGAGTACATTGTAAGATGTGTATGGTGCTTGACCGCCAATGCAAACTGTGACGTAATTAAAAATGTCGATGAAGTAGGTATTACATTTAGAATGCATTTCAAAATTGGTTCTAGTGACAAGAAAAGAAACTTGAAATGATAAATATATTTTCTGGATGGATCACCCTGTCCAATTGTACAAATAAACACATGTAAGTTATACACGATATTCAGAAATGTATTGGCCTACAATGCAAATACTGGCTATAGTTGGTTGGTTTGTTGTTTAACGCCACACTCAGTAATATTCCAACTATATGACGGTGATCTGTAAATAATCGAATCTGGACCAGACAATCCAGTCATCAATACCATGAGGATCGATGACACGCAGCAACCAAGGCAGCGAGCCCGACCACCCGATCCCGTTAGTCACATTTTACGACAAGCAAAGTCGCCTTTTACGGCAAGTATGGGTCCTATAGTATGTAGCTTACATGTGAAGAATAATTACATCACGAAAATAAATTAATGTGTTGTTATTTGTTACTTATATTGTCTTTACGACAACACACAGAACGTTATAAATTGCCAAAGTCTTCAACACTGTCGATACTGCACTGTATATCTATATACAACTGATTGATGTTGATCTGGGAATCCAATTGTTTCCATTTACATATAATAGTCTTGCTCATTAGGCCAACATACATGTATCTGCGACATGCCGCATAATGCGGTTCCGCGCACGCCCAGAAAAGTTACATGTAGCAAGTATCGTACCTGGGAATGTGGCAAGGCTTGCGTGTATCCACTGGTCGGTTGTTGTGGTGATCCGACGTTACAATTGCGGCTATGGTTCATTGAGAAAGTTATGTCATTTACGCTCAGGTAAATCCAGCAAATATATAGGAACAAAAGAGTCCTGTTGGTTTTTGGTCATTTTGAGCCCGAGACACATCATTAACTTGGAAGCGTAAAATACAAAAAAATATTTGTCAGACAAAAATTGAAACTGTTTGGGTCAAGACAGCAAAATGGCAAAACAAATGAATTTTTTTTTTTTTTATGGGTTAGACTTTATGGATCCGCAATATTATCAAAATAAGATTAATCTTATATTACACAACATACAATTCATAGTACGTGAAACATGTTCTGGAGTGATGTACTGATAGCATAGGCCATGTATTTGAATTAATGGAACGAAAAGGTACAAAGGGATATTGAGCTAACAAGTTAATTTTTTTAGTATAATTATATTTGTAAAATAGGGGGGAAAATCTGTATTAAAAAAAGTGCAATAATTATCAATGATGTAACTAGTAAGTGAAACTAGTGAGACATGAACATTTTGTGAATTTTACGAATTTAAGATGAGATTAACACTGATTTTCAAGGTTAAACATTCCAGTGTACAAACCATGCTATCAGAGAATATTGCACAAACAGAAAACAAACGAATTTTAAAAAGATACACCCATGCCCAGTTCTAACATTTAATGTCTTTCACTTGGAAAAAATAAACATGGAAGCAATATATTGTATCTGACTTGATGGGACCGATGCTTTAAAAGAACACATATTCATATAACGTACGTAGAACTGTTTGAAAACATTATGACAATGTATAGGAAAATGGTTTAATTTAATGTCGTACAGATCCAAACAGAGTAATTATGCAATCTCATTAAAATCAAATCTGAGTTTTCGCTCCCGCTAAACAAAGATCTGAGGACATCCCATTACGGGATGAGACCCGGAGAGACGGAGTATAAGGCATTATTGTATGGCGTCTCCACCAAATTGCTGCCTATTACAATCAACACTACTGCCTAAAACAAAACATAACATGATGGTAAAATTAAACCTAAATTTATATTGAAACTTCAATTAACAACTTCAGAAGAATAACTGACGGAACAGTGCAGTGGGTTTATGTGAAATAAATTACTGACCAGTTGATCAAAGTTCTGTCATCAAAGTATATAACAATTTTCATGAAAATAGCTAATAGAAATAAGTATTGAAAGTGAAATTACAAGTCCTCCGAAATATTATCCAATATCCCACTGTTTTGTTTACGCAGGTTTCACTTCAAGGTCGTTTAACACATTCTTATTATCTATGGGTTCTGCGAATATTTCATATAACTAATTATTAAACATGTACAACGTGGTTAAAACCATTAATAACCTACCATGAGTGGAAAACATAGTTATGAATGTACAAAGTTTCATCTGACATGTAAAGACTTGGATATACTCGCGTGTTTATGTACTGATTTAGGATAGCTACGCGATGAATTGCAAAAGAAAAAATGAATAAGGCATGATTTATTTCACGCTAAAACATTGTTCTATCGTGAGGTCATTTCAAGAGATTCGAACATACTCTTGCAACTTGATGACGTCGTACATTGGGAGAAGCTACCCTTTTGAGAAGGTAGTGAGTTGTTCCCCTAAAATGTAGGTATGTAACTCAGATAAACGCAAGGGCTGAATAATCGCATTCAGAAGTGGACGAGATGGAGCGTAAAGATACAAATAATGACCGCCAATTGTTTGTGTTTCTGAGAATATTCAGGAAATACCATACTGAAAAAGTTTGTTCCTAAACTGGACTGGTTCGACATTGCCGAGGCGGATTGTATTCAGTGAGTCATCATTATCTGAATACGAGTAAATACTTTTAGAGCTTGTACATAATCAGAGAATAATACGTATATATAATTAACATTAGAAAACCGTAGAACAGTGTTTGTCGCTAGTTAAATTTATAAATTGTAATATCGTCTTGTTAGAAATATTGTACTATTAAGCAAGATTAAGAAAGCACTACACATATGCTTCGATTAAACGCTATCCATTATATACAAGGAGAACCAAACTTCAACAAATATTGTACAAATGAATAAAAAAGACCATACAAATTTGTATATCATATGTTCAAATGTATCTTACTCAGTTTCATTATATCTTCATAGGCACATGTATGTCAGGTTTTGTTCCATTCCAATGGAAGGAAGGTTCAGAAAACACAAATGATTTAAGTTTTCCACGTAATGGCATTTAATATAGGATACTCGCTACAGTCAATAAGATTTTATGTAATACACGTGCATATGTTTTCAGACAAAAAACGTCGTAACGGCGTCCAGCTCTACACCTCTGTTTCGGATTCATCGGACCCAAAAGAAGGAAGTCTGTGTCACACAGTTACTGGACGTCCTGACGGTACAGACATCCCTGACGTACTGAATGTGACCTGTCCTGGAACGTGGCGCTACCTGACTGTCTACACGGAGACTAATAATGATGGAGATGGTGCTGTCTTGGACTTTGTCGAGGTACAGGTGTGGAGTAAGTATACACACCAAGACAGATCACTTTCAGCATACCCTAAATTAACGTCTTTACAGGTATAGGTAAGCAAATATCACGTTTTCACAACACTATTATTATCACTGACATTTTGCTGTGACCACTTCTATTGTATTCTGTACTGTCATTGTACTTGAACTGCCATTGAGTTTTGTACTGCTACTCTGTTGCGAACTGCAATTGTAATTATAGTGAACTACGTTTATCACGAACACGTTTACAACAAACAGATGAATAAAAGTGTTTTTTGTTCCCGTCCATTTGCTGTATTTATGCTCTATATATGCTTATAACGAACTACGGTTTCAATTTGAATTATTTAAACATTTAGTTTCAAAAGACAAATGACTCAAATCAACTACAAAATCTTACAGTTTATTTTCCAAACTGGGTAACATTTTGTGCAATAATGTAATTTACAATACAAATTGTATGCTTCCACAGCATGTACCTCGGAGAAATACGGCCCTAACTGTGCCATAGACTGCAGTTCCCGATATTGTAAGACAGCCTCGACTACTTGTGACGGAAGCACAGGAGCGTGTCCTGGTGGGTGTGAAGATGGGTGGACAGAGATAGACTGTTCCAGACGTAAGTAAGATGGTGCCATTATTTTGTGCTTCCGAAAATCAAATATCATATCTTCTACATCAGCACTGTTTGAGCAATAAATAAATATATTGCTGAATTTGTCTCCCCTTTTTGGACCAGGGAAAGAAAAAAATGTGTCCTCAGCACCTAGTTGCTGATGGTAAAGGGCCACTAAATTGGGTAGCCTGTTTGCCGTTGGCTGCGACCCGTGTCGGCAGAGGAAGCGAGTCTGGTGTTTTAGGGCGACATAGCCGACAATAGTGCTCATTAGAACCATACTTTGCCTGGACGGGCGGTATAATGGGCCCAATTCTATCAATTCGTGTCAAATTTGCTCCTTTATCCTCGGTCTTTGCAGCTGGGAGATCCGCTGCAGCATAATACTGTTCTTGTTGACACTCCATGGTGGGTTGGAAAAAGGGGTGCATAATTACTTTCCCTTTGATATGGCTCTCCATGGTTAAAAATGACGAAACATTGAATCCGATGAGCCATTCGAACCGACTATTGGCTTCTTGTCTTGGTTACTGAAGCTTTAGACAAAGAACCAGTCAAATTGAACCGATTTGCAATCTGCAAAGGTATCATTGGTATCTGCGAAGAGGTCATAAATGTCACGATGCTTTGCCCTGGCTCTCTCCTTGTAGAATGTGTACGGAGACAACCATCTACCAATCTGCTCAAATTAAAAATGTTTGTCCAAATGAAGATTGTTGATTCAATGCACAAAACACTGAACTCGTGTAAAGACAATTGTCCGTGACAGAAGATGACAGCCGGCAGCTTTCACTGTCATCTCCTGAAACACTTTCCCGATTCATGTCTGAAAACGTTACTTTGTATATTTGATGAAATATGGACAACCGGGAATGTTCCTGCTTCGTGGCACAATGCTATTATTATACCTATTGCAAAGCCTGGACGGGATCATACAGATCCCTCCATTTACCATCGAATATCATTAACTAGATGTGTTTGTAGTTATAAAACCATGGAGCGGATTGTCAACAATCGATTAGTCTGGTACTTGGAAAGCAATAACCTCCCGAGTGACATCCAGTGTGGTTTCCGAAAATAAACAGAAGTACATTTGACCATTTGGTGCGTTTAGAATCACTTGTTAAAAATTCCATTGTCAACAAACAACATACTGTATCAACCTTTTTTGATCCAGAGAAGGCACAAGATACAACGTGTAAACATGGTATTTTAAAAGATTTGTATGAATGTGGATTGAGGGGCAGATTAGCTCAGTTTATATCTCAATTTTTCAACAACAGACAATTTCAACTACGAGTGGGGTCTACACTGTCTGATCAACTCGTTTGTTCTACGGGTTCATTGTCCTTGTTTTCATCGATTTGGCGATCTATCTATGTAAAACGACACTGACCCAAATAATAATAAGTAATAATAAGCATGTTAAGGCATCACAAAATGTGTGATAATGAATATGAAAATGGGTGTTGTTGATTAAATGTTTTTTTAAATGTATTCTGAAGCAAACTGTCTAATTCATTGGGTTAAGTAACCTAACTATCCATTAATTTCAGCCTGTGTTGATGGGATGTATGGACAAGGATGTAACTACAGCTGCAGCAGCCGTCGCTGTAGTACGACGTCAACTAACATTTGTAATCACGTGACTGGGAAGTGTTCCGATGGCTGTACCAGGGGTTTCATGGGAGATGACTGCTTACAAAGTATGCTTGTTGTATTGATGAACGTCTTAACTTAATACATTTCATAAGTGTCTTCATTCATATGGGGTAAGAAATTCATGTCTGTCGTCTAAACAACCCGTTTGCAGGTTCACAGTCAAGCATATATTGCATGACTATGTGGACTTTGCAATCGCAAGGGATTCCAATTATCACATTATCAAAGCGTAAGTCTGAAAGATCTCTTTTCCGTGTCAGCGGGCATCTTATTATCAACAACTTGAAAGAAGTTAATCTGTATAATAAATTTTAAATGTGTATGTGAATAATTAAATGGTTGTTTTTAAATTTGATGCGATGCTATCATCAGCTGACATTACTGAAGGCTCTGTCCAAGAGGTTAAAGTATGGTAAAACCATTGTCCCCCTGTGTGACACGTAATCCTATCATAATCGATGTAACTATCATCAACCAGTGTTTTAAGCCAACTCATTGCTTAGTATTTTTTAATATTGGCTAGCATTGTAAATCCTCGGGGATATCGTGCAGGATGCAGAGACACATTAAATCCCCATGATCCCAAGAAGGTGGCCTTGCTTTGGTTACTGGTGACCTATAGCCCGTGTTTTTGAAACTGTGTGCATGATATTGTTTTGATCAAATATGTTTCATAAATTGTTTTTAATTATCACTTGGCATAAATGACTCCATTGTGAAAATATTAACTTGGTGTTGGTCGGTGTATGGCTGAAATAATGCCGTTGCGCCATTAATTACACTCACTCACTCATTCACTGATATTTTCTTTTTCACATTTCTCTTATGGAGTTTGTTATACACACATGAGTGTCAGTTGTTTATGTCCCCAACCATTAGTTCTCGTACATTTACAGCAGACAAGAGCTGTAAAAAAGGTCAGATCATACGGTGCTGGATTCAAGTTAATAATGTTCATTATGACCAACATATGCCGTTACGCCGTTAATTTCACTCACTCACTCACTCACTCACTGATATTTTCTTTTTCACATTTCTCTTACGGAGTTTGTTATACACACATGAGTGTCAGTTGTTTATGTCCCCAACCATTAGTTCTCGGACATTTACGGCAGACAAGAGCTGTAAAAAAGGTCAGATCATACGGTGCTGGATTCAAGTTAATAATGTTCATTATGACCAACATAATATGATGTTTATTTCTTAATCTTTAGTATTCATCCTCTATGTGGGATTTCGTCCGTATGACTTTTTTCTGATATACATTGGTAACAGCTATGCCACGTTGGTCAACACAATTTTAATCAGCAAAGTTTTGGATAAGTTTTGAAAAGGTTGACAAGATTTAACATAGGCTTGATTAATAAGCTGGATGTTATGAATTCGTTTGTTCTACGGGTTCATTGTCCTTGTTTTCATCGATTTGGCGATCTATCTCTGTAGAACAACACTGACCCAAATGATAAAAAGTAATAATAAGCATATTAAAGCATTACAAAAATTTGTGATAATGAATATGAAAATGGGTGTTGTTGATTAAAGATAAAAAATGTATTCCGAAGCAAACTGCCTAATACAATAGGTTAAGTAACCTAACTATCCATTAATTTCAGCCTGTGTCGATGGGATGTATGGACGAGGATGTAACTACAGCTGCAGCAGCCGTCGCTGTAGTACGACGTCATCTAACATTTGTAATCACGTGACTGGGAAGTGTTCCGATGGCTGTGCCTGGGGTTTCATGGGAGATGACTGCTTACAATGTATGCTTATTGTATTGATGAACGTTTTCACTTAATACATTTCATAAGTGTCTTCTTTCATATGGGGTAAGAAATCCATGTCTGTCGTCTAAACAACCCGTTTGCAGGTTCACAGTCAAGCATATATTGCATGACTATGTGGACTTTGCAATCGCAAGGGATTCCAATTATCACATTATCAAAGCGTAAGTCTGAAAGATCTCTTTTCCGTGTCAGCGGGCATCTTATTATCAACAACTTGAAAGAAGTTAATCTGTATATAAATTTTAAATGTGTATGTGAATAATTAAATGGTTGTTTTAATTTTGATGCGATGCTATCATCAGCTGACATTACTGAAGGCTCTGTCCAAGAGGTTAAAGTATGGTAAAATTATTGTCCCCCTGTGTGACACGTAATCCTATCATAATCGATGTAACTATCATCAACCAGTGTTTTAAGCCAACTCATTGCTTAGTATTTTTTAATATTGGCTAGCATTGTAAATCCTCGGGGATATCGTGCAGGATGCAGAGACACATTAAATCCCCATGATCCCAAGAAGGTGGCCTTGCTTTGGTTACTGGTGACCTATAGCCCATGTTTTTTAAACTGTGTACATGATATTGTTTTGATCAAATATGTTTCATAAATTGTTTTTAATTATCACTTGGCATAAATGACTCCATTGTGCAAATATTAACTTGGTGTTGGTCGGTGTATGGCTGAAATAATGCCGTTGCGCCGTTAATTACACTCACTCACTCACTCACTGATATTTTCTTTTTCACATTTCTCTTATGGAGTTTGTTATACACACATGAGTGTCAGTTGTTTATGTCCCCAACCATTAGTTCTCGTACATTTACAGCAGACAAGAGCTGTAAGAAAGGTCAGATCATACGGTGCTGGATTCAAGTTAATAATGCTCATTATAACCAACATAATATGATGTTTATTTCTTAATCTTTAGTATTCATCCTCTATGTGGGATTTCGTCCGTATGACTTTTTTCTGATATACATTGGTAACAGCTATGCCACGTTGGTCAACACAATTTTAATCAGCAAAGTTTTGGATAAGTTTTGAAAAGGTTGACAAGATTTAACATAGGCTTGATTAATAAGCTGGATGGACTGAATTCGTTTGTTCTACGGGTTCATTGTCCTTGTTTTCATCGATTTGGCGATCTATGATTAAAGCTAAAAAATGTATTCTAAAGCAAACTGCCTAATACAATAGGTTAAGTAACCTAACTATCCATTAATTTCAGCCTGTGTCGATGGGATGTATGGACAAGGATGTAACTACAGCTGCAGCAGCCGTCGCTGTAGTACGACGTCAACTAACATTTGTAATCACGTGACTGGGAAGTGTTCCGATGGCTGTGCCTGGGGTTTCATGGGTGATGACTGCTTCCAAAGTATGATCATTGTATTGATTAACGTCTTCACTTAATACATTTCATGAGTGTTTTCTTTCACGTTGGGTAAGAAATCCATGTCTGTCGTCTAAACCATCCGTTTGCAGGTGATAGTCAAGTCACATACGAAATCAATCATATCACGAATTTTGCAGGGACATTCTTTTTTCAAACTTTTTAATTCGTGTCAGGATATAATGTATTTTTTATAATTTATGCTTTAACCCAGCCGGAATATTCCACGCTGTGGGACTATTTGGGGCAGGATGCGCTCAGCTGTTCGCGAATCATCAATATTTGATAGTGATTCATAACAACATATTTTTGCGCGACACCTGGTGTCATCACTGATTTTCAGTTGTCGATTCATAAGCGTTTCACAGCTGTTTCTCCCTATACGCCAAATTCTAGTCTGTTTCGAGACTGGTTATTTAGGAGATAAACATGCTGCGTTTAAATTTAGCGTGGTTAATTCTACAGGTAGCCAGGCTCTACATTGGAAAGACAGTATGTTTATCTCCCAAATAACCAGTCAAGAAACAATCCCCAATTCCCACTGTGGCGCAAAAATATGACGTCACAGTCGTATATAGAAAAGCGCCAAATTCCAAGCTGTGTGTTGTGCTCAAAGCTTAAAATACATTCTCTTTGTAGATTTCAACATATTGTAGTGACCGCAAATTACAGTTAAGCTATAACTGTAGATATAATTATGTAAATGTGACAATGACTTAAGAAAAGTAGAATCTCTTGCATTGACAATTTATATATATATTGATACAGTCGAAATCGTACAATGGACTCTGCTTATAGTATGATTGTCGAAATATGGATTATGTTTTGCTTCGCTTTTAAAAGTTTCACTTCACCCTGATTCAGCGTGCAGTTCGGGGAAATATGGCCCAAACTGTGCCCGAGACTGCATGACCCGACATTGTAAACCCCCCTCCTCTACATGTGACGGGAACACAGGAAGGTGTCTTGATGGATGTGATGCGGGTTGGACAGAGGTTGACTGCTCTGGAAGTAAGTCAGATTATGCCATGTTTTTGGCCGTTTGAAAGTCCGTTCATAACTTCAACTGATTCATGCAACAATGGTACACAAAGGAACATACACACAGCCACACACCTGATGGTGCCATCTAAAATAGTTTTAGTAACCAATTTCAAATTAATGATGTTACAGTCATTTGAATATCATTGAAGCATGACATCTCCGTGTACAGTAAATATAAAACGTCGACGTCAGAGTAAAATGAATCCCGATCACACCATGTTCTTAATGATATGCTTATCCAAAATATCAATATTTGTAATTTATATTCTTTCACAACGATGTACTTCAGTGCAGGACTGACCCGTAAAGATTCCGGGGTAGAATAGGTCTTCAGCAACCCATGCTTGCCGTAAAAGGTGACTATGCTTGTCGTAAAAGGCGACTAACGGGATCGGGTCGTCAGGCTCGCTGACTTGGTTGATGCATGTCATCGATCCCAATTGGGTGGATCAATGCTCATGATATCAATCACTGGATTGTCTAGTCCAGGCTCGATTATTTACAGACCGCCGTCATATAGCTGTAATGTTGCTGAGTGCGGCGTTAAACAACAAACCAACCAATCAGTGCAGGATAAACATGCATGTGATGGACGACACTTTATTCACACCTGATTATTAGTTACTAGCGTCTCTCAGTCAACTAAAATACATCATCATGGTTCCACGTCCTGTCCCTCCACTAAAATGTTAATGATGTTTAATGGTAATGTTGGCATTGTTCCACGTCTGTGGAAGTAGTCATGAACAATCAAAATCCTGTGTATTCTGCTCCAATACAGATAAACAATTATAGCGTATTCTAACAACACTTCCATGAATATCTAACTTGATTTAGTCACGATATGGCTGAAATATTGCCGATGTGACTATAAACCATAACTCACTCACTCACTCACTCTAACAACACTTCAACTCAAAGTTAAACGAGTTCAATAAATATATAATATACTCTAATATACATAATATACTCTAAATATATGTAGGGGATCATGACGTATTCATGTTAATACCAAGTATTAGAACAAAAATAAGTATTTATGTCTGTAAAACGTAACTGTGGTTCAAAATCCAGGCTTTTGTTGACATGTGAATCACGCAGTAGCGCCACACATGGTTTATAGCGTCTTTCGTTATTTTGACACTTTCAAGGACGGTCGAATAATCACTTTGGATTGTTATTTCTGTCAATATCATTTATTCTGCGTATCATACTGTTATGATTTACTTGATTTCATTCATTTTGGGGTCTAGACTAGCGATGTGTCGTCTACGGGCTATTGTTCATGCTGGATACTGGCAGAAGTCAGCGTTTAGTTGCCAACACGCTTATTCTATCAGAGTCTGCGATTAGCAGACTACTTAATATGTTGAGGATCGGTTCCATTCAGGGCGACCCATGTCGTCGACAAGAGTACAGGATCGATTGATCCGTAACCAGGATCTACGCAATCGAGCTCAAACCTCGAATCAGATTACTGCACACTTTCATCAGGCTGCTGGGTATACGGGCTAGACGATTAGAATTCGTCTTCATGCAGCCCGACGGCCGTATCATGTGCCGCCCCTTATAAAACATCGTGATGCTAGTGCCCACAGACGTTAATGGTGCACACAATGTCGAAACTGGGGTAATCGTCGCTTGTCATGTTTTCAGATTAGTTCCGATTTACGTTGCACTTCCATAAATAGGCGTTGTAATTTCATGCGACGTAGAAATGAACGTCAAGCTAACACTGCAAACACGAAAACGTCGTTTTTTCCCCTATATGGTCATTGGACGGAAAAACGACGTTATTTGGACGCTTTCCAACCATCGTTTTTCCGTCCAAATAACGTCGTTATTTGACATCGGAATTTACTGAGAGAGAACGATATCATCAAGCTCCTCCCTTTCTTGATTGGCATTGTCAATCAAGCAACAGCGTCTACCGGTATTCCTACTTCTCAGATTTCATTGGTCAGTTCTCGCGTGTTAGATTACAGGCCCTAGTTTGACGCTGTACTCGAAGCGCTTAGCGGAAGTACTGAAATCAGTCGTTCTGCGCATGCGGATTGCTTAATGCCTTGTCCAAATTTTCCGTTCTGTGAATGCGCGATTTCGCGTATTGTTTCCACTATATGTCACCACTATTTGACAATGATTCATAAACACAGTCTCGTGATGAGTCCGGAATCGTACAATGTCGCTTTAATTTATGGCACGTACTTGATCGGCGCGTATTTCCCATTAACAAATACAATGATAACGGTAATAATTTTAGTCAAAATAATTAGGAAAGCGCAAGGCTCAGGAACGTCTGAGTATAGGAAAAGGATTTTATACTTTCGAAAGGTATATAATCGTCAAATACGCAAAAGAGTATCAACCGGCTTTTAAAACTTATTTTTGTAGAAGGTGATCTTGGTGTTTATTGCCAGATAGTATATGCATATACATTTTCCCGATATTGCTTATTTTAATGTTTATTAATAGTTTTAAGGTTCGTGCGCCTAATTGACGGGATTCCACTTTCTCATTTGTACATGACACTTAAACAGTGTTCTGTTACTGTAAGCAGATTAGTTTCAAATTCCAAACTGGTGATATCTATTCAGACTAATGCCTAGTCTCTAAAACTGTATAGTTTTGAAAGAAACAAGTAACTCCATTTAAATTGAAGAGGAGCCCCAGTTATATGGGAGATTCCGAGATGAACCTACTCTATGGATATCTAAGCTGCCACCCAAACCGACCCAAACGGGACCCGAAACCTTAATATTGTATGCTATATAGTCCCATGGAAGTGCACTAGAATTATACATTGTATTCCGGACGATTGTGTTCTTTCATCTACTTTTAAATGTTGCCTATACACTAATCTGGACGTACTACTCATTGTTCTATTTATGTCATCCTATTATATATTTATATTTATATCAGATATACATTAACGCATGTTACACTTCTAAAGTCATACTCTCATATAACCTTATATTGTTCATAGTTTATTCAACAACATCAAGAACAGCAATTTAAACTACTGAAACACCCAAACACAAGGCTGTTATCAAGCGCTGGTGCAGGCGTGATGCATCGTAAAAAACTGTATCGTGATGTCATCAGAAATACAATTTCTTGCAACATTTATACTACGAGATAGTAAGGCTAACGCTTACTCACCGGTGGAACGTAGACAATATCGCTAATACAGATATCACGTATTTGAATGTTAATACTAAAGACAACACTCATTATTTTTGCAGTGACGATATAACACTTATACACGTTTATTGGTGACTTTCATCAGTATTGCTAATAATTTTAATAATTATGTTTTCACATATACAAGTAACAATACCCGACTAGCCTGTCATATATACTTATGGGGCAGTTTTCAATCTTGTACTGACTTACTCTGGTGTTCCTGAGGGGAGGTTATTGGCTTGGGTGTTATACCCCGTTTTTCTGGTAATCCTATTATTACTTCATTTTTATCTAATGACACCCTGTTCTCTGGATCACGGCTCCGTGACTATCCATAACAATTAAGATGAACATTCAGATCAAGTACGCCACAGTCAATCAAAGACCAATGCTGTGCGGTTTGATTACACACTTCTACCAGGTCGAACATCGTGGATCTTTTTCTACCTAAAGAGAATCATAGTTCATATGCTAATCCATCTATTGCCTACGAAAACCGTCCCGCTCAAGATGACCTTACTTGTTGTTAAATCCATCATCTATCACCACGTTCTCACCCCCCCCCCCCACACACACACACGCGCGCGGCACGCACGCACACACACACAACGGACCTAAATAACCTGGGCAGGAAATACTGCTAATAGCCTCTGGTCAACACCGCCGCGAGCGCTACCACAGGATGTTCGTCGAACTCTGCAGGGGGCATTCTCAGTAGCTTCAAATGCGCTGAAAAGTGCGTGTCAAGGACAGCTGATGTCCGATGCTGAAGAACCGTGTTCACAGCTGACCGACTTGGTATTTTTCTGCACTGACAGAAACTGGATATACTGACCCACAGCTGTTATAGATATTTAACTAACCCCTGATCAAATAGATGCCCTTCGTTAATCTCTGTGTGGAGTACCGTATATACCTGTGATAACGATACCGGTGGCGATGCTGATGATGATGGTGATGGTGATGGTGATGGTGATGGTGATGATATGATCATATGATCAAGGCCGCTGGCGTTGCCTAGTGGTAAAAGCGTTCGCTCCTCGTGCCGCAAGTCCAGGTTCTATTCTCTGCATATCATAGGCACAATGTGGGAATCCCCCGCCGTGATATTGCTGTAATATTGCTAAGGCGGCGTAAAATCCGACTCACATAAGCTCTCATAAATCACTGTGACATTGCTAACCAAGGTTCTGCAGATGGCACCGGAGTATGTCAAGATTCAACTCTCGGTTGGTCTTCTTCCATCACACTAGGTGGCGCTACTGGCCTCGCTAGGTCGTTCATTCATCCACAGGGCTGTGTACATGAATGGCGGCACTTTCTTAAAGCGGTTGTCAAATAGGAGTTTATGTCATCGGAAGTTCACCTCAACCGATTCCAGCAGTCCTGCTTTCATCTGATCCATTGACCTAAGTTTGTGGCTCTGTGACAACACGTACAAAAGAAAGTCTTTGTACAGGAGATGCAATTGGCTATTCTTGGCATATCACATGCTTTTACGGATTGTGAACCGCCCTCGCGATATCTAATCCGCTGTTCTCGCATAGATATTGACATATCTTCGAGATCTGTCTGAATGAATGACGTGACAACATTCAAGAAGTACGTTAACGGTTATGTGAAATATTAGAATGATTCCACCACAGAAGCCAAATCTTAAAGTTGTTTGATTCTTCGGTAGCATTTTCAATAAATGTTGTTCACGAAAGGTTCCTGAATACATTAATCGAGATTACGCTATCCGCATGGATGACCTATTCCTGCTTAGATATATCTAGATCGGTGACGCTAAGCCGGTGACCCGTACCCAGATCCGGACATAACAGTGAAA